CGAGTTTAATTTTCTTTTCTGTTTTCAGAAGCCCAAAATCAGTTTGCTTGAGGAACTGTGCATGCAGGTGTGACTTGGATGGACAATGTGTGTGGTCCCTGGGCCAGGCAGACTGATTCCTCTCCATTCTGTCAAAGCAGAACTTCCCCAGGAGGGAAAATGCTGTGCCACGCAGGGGAAATTTTCGGTGGAGTGGGTGTGTGTTGAGGGGAGTGACAACCAGGAGCAGTTCAGGGTAATGTGCTTGTTTGGAGAGGAAGTTAACAGGCGAGTGAGCAGGGGTTGTAGCCACAATACAGAAAGCTGGTTTTGAAAGCATCTTTGTGGTGGCTGCTTTACCTGGAAGGAGGTGTACAGAGGTCATAGCCATGTGTACACAAATACAGGTGGCATTTAGAGGGTTAGGGGCCATGGAGTGCTTCTGGCCACCTTGTGCTGCCGAGGCTGTCTCCTGTCTGGCAGATGTTGTCATGGTATGGACCAGTCTTTGCATATTAAACCCGCATGCTCTCCTCCCTCGCCATCTCCCGCTGCCCACCTCAGCTGGGTGTCCAGAGCTGGAGGTTCACTGCAGCTGGGCTCCTTGACCACACCAGGAGTGACTTCCATCAGCTCCTCTGTGTGACGAAGTGAGGGTAATAAGGAAGGATAATAACCCAGCCCACAGTGCAGATCCCTCCCTCGTGGCCTTGGATGCTGAGGTTAACAGGGGGTTAGTGATACACGGCTGTCCTGAGCACGGAGGGTCATGTGCTACAGCAGACTCCCCCACAGTCTGCTCGGGGCTGGGTCCTACCCTTACCTGCACGTGTGCTGTCTTCAGATCTTACCGTTTTTGTAGGTTTTTTGAAGCCCTGAGCAGCTCTTTGTCACTTTATATGATGCCAACCAGCTCCACAGCCAGCTCAGCACGGCACTGCCAGGAGATCCTCGGGCCAGTGGTCGTGTGTGCAGGCACAGTCCTAACAAACACTGAGGACACCTCTAGACCTCAGCTCGCACCCTCTGTACCTGTTTATTCCCAAAGGAACAGGCAGCTGGGAAGGCTGCTTCACTTTAGGTATCTTTTTGGTTTAGAGTGGGACAGGGGGAAGGCTACAAGTTCTTTCAGGATAGCTTTGTAGTGCTGGAGCAGGCTGAGAACCAGATCTAGTGGAGGTGGTGTCCATACCTGGCAGGTGGGATCATGGCACATACACTTTGTAGTCTGTGAGTTGCTTTCCTGTCCAGAAAATGACTTTATACTCTGCAGACTACAGCTTAAGTTCAAACTGATGTTACTGCAGCTTGAGTGAGGGACTGACACGGAGGCCATGCTGGTGGGAGATTTCAGGTACCCCTTGGGTTAAGGAACTGTTAACAGATGCTTTCAAGCAAATTCTCATGGTCAGGCGAAGTTATTAATGTGAGAAGAGAAATATAAATAATTAAACTGTGTTGTTGGGTTTCCCCCTCTCCCCCCTTTATCAGTGTGGGTTTTTTTGCTCTTGCCGCTTACAGAGAAGGCAGATGGATCGGTTTCGTGTTCCACCTCCGACGAGCCCCGAGTGATGTAACAGAAGCGATAACCGCAGCGGTGACGCTGCCAGGTGCGGGGACTCGCTCTCGCCTTTCTGTAAGTGTGGGACTGTCACTTGTGGAATGCTGCGAAAGCGGATGCT